TTCTTGTCGTGACTTGATATCATACACTGACGTAAATTTTCCAAGACTTTTCAGCGTCACGTATTTAGTTTCCTCGTGAAATAGATGGTAATTACTTTAAAACCACTAACTAACCTACTATTCTTCAGTTTGGAATATTCAACCCAGAATCTGATTTTTAATTAACGTTCTTAGAGATATATTCTTAAAAATGGGTGGTGCAACAGTAATTATATAAATATACCACAAAAATAGAGTTAGTAAATAGAACATGTCAATTCACAGCCCTTGTACGGACAGTTTGAAAATACTGTGTCATTATGTATTCAAGTTATCATTGTCTTTTTTGTATGTTTGTTGTTAAGCGCAAAAGTACGCAATGAGTTTTCTGTGCTGTTCCCAACACGGGTATCGAAACCTGATTTTTAGCGTTATAAACCTTCAGACTTACCGCTGAGCCACTAGGAGAGGCTATCATTATCATAATGTTCTTTAAAAACGTAAATATATTAGTACAAAAGTAAAAGTAATTCTGTCATTAACTCTGATAAAAATACTAAATAATCGTCTCTATCAAAGTTAACCATAACCGTTATTTGTAAGTTATGATATCATCAATTAGATGTTTGTTATTGGATCGTTCTAACAAATTAAAATAAAATGTTATAGTGATTCTGTTAGTTATTTTTATTACTTGACTATCTAGCAACTCTTTAAGATAAAATACAGTACTGTAGTTGTCAATAGTAACCACAGTTGTCAGTGTCTGTTATTTAAACATCAGCACATCATAATGAATCATAAGGAAGTATCTTTCTTCCTAACATTACAATTCAATTCTTACAACTCAGTGTGTTATAGTGAGACATATTTTGGTATAAAATGTTGACCATTATTATGTAGCAAAGGCTGGCGGAACACTAGAGGGTTACCAATATTCCTCGGTCGGTCTAATAAAGTGGTGAGATATGCAAAGTGTCTTATGGTGTCTTATACTGGCGAAGCATAAGTTGTTGATCAGTAATTTGTGTGATGCAACGCCATAATAAGACTAATGATAATTTCAGTCACGTCTTCCTGTAATAGTCCTATACGGCTTTCCTGTAAATAAAAAAGAAAAAATATGGTTGCATAGCGTGCATTTTAAACGACATTATACACCAGTATGCTTCATATTTTACTGATACACTCTTAGTAACTTAATCCCTTACATTTCCTAAAGGTCCTTTATTCATAGAAACTCTTATCAATGTACAGTCTATGTAATAATAAAATATCAATAACAATATTGATGATACTGAATCTAAGTTGTTGTCGATTTTTGAGATATTTATTACGTTTCGTCTCTTTACTTAGGCCATCATCAGACGTATTGTTATGTATCTGATTGTTTTATAATTTCCGGTAAAAATTCTTTCCGAGTGACTTCAGCGATACAAGTCCCTTCTTGATTAAAACTATTTTATTCTTTCTCGATACAACTTTGTAATACACTTAATTCCCACAGTCACTTTAAACTTAACAACCCTTATACCACACGCTATAAAT